GAAACAAGAATCAAAAGGGCTTTTTAAAAAAAAAAAAATATTTAAAAAAACGTATTTAAGGAATACGTTTTTATTTAACTGTTTTAATTAAAAAAAATTGAAAATAATTTTCAAAATTCTTTTCGTTAAAAAAAACAAAACAAAATGTATTTAAGTAATACGTTTTAAAAAAACGTATTACTCGAATACATTTTAAAAAAAAAATAATTTTTTTAAAATACATTTAAGTAAAACGTATTTAAGGAATATGTTTTATAATTAAATACAGAAAAAAAATGTATTCCTTAAATACGTTTTTTATAAAATATATTAAAAAAATCTTCTTCTCCATTCATTCGCGAGACCAACAACAGAGGAGGCATCAAAAATTTGAACAAAGAGCTTTTTTCTTTTTTGGGAGCGAAAATACTTGAGACAAAAAAACTCGATCCAATCTTCACCCCGACGTGAACCAACAACACGGACACGAGTCTTATTTCAGGTTAATTTATTCGCACGAGGTATATTGGCTTATCTCAACTTTTTATATTTGTTTGGAGTTATTTGGAGATTGAGAATTGTTATAGTATGTTTGAATGTGTTGGTGTTTGAAGATTGAAATTGATAATTGATTAACGATTATGTGTGTATGTTGAATTAGAGATTGAAATATTATGTGTAAATTGTCAATTGTGTAATTGTTTGGGTGTTGTTGGGGTTAGGGTCATATAAAATTAGGGTTTCAATTTATCGAAATTATAAATGATTTCTATGTTATTGTTCGATTAGGTATTAGGGTTTTGAATGATTAATTGATTGGAATATTTTTATTTTTTTTTTGGTTTTTTTGGTTGAAAGTGTATTATATGATATTGATGGATAATGAGTATTAGGGCTTGTTAAAAGAAATCGTGATTTTATTTTTAATAGGTATAAATGGAGTTTACCGGACCATATTTTGTTAACGTGTATTGGAATCATCCCAAAGAGGTTTTAGATTTATTTTCAGATTTTATAGACCGTCCGGATGGTTCATTTAGCATTGTGGAGAAGTTATCATTTCAACAACTTAAAGATATACTTTATGAAATTTTTGGGTTCCGTCGAAATGGTTGGATGATTGAAGGGATTAGTTTACTTACTAACCGACCCGATGGTTCGTGGAACATTGGAAACTTGAATACTGATAGTGCTTTACAGTAGATATATTATTTTCCGGCTTTCTCCTATGTGTATTTGCATTTAGAGTTGAAGTAGGTTACGCAGGCACCTACAGTGATTACACAGTTTGAGGATGTTTCCCATTTTTATGGGGGAGTGCCCGATTTTGAGGGTACGTCCACTTCGCATGTTCGTAATTTTGGCGAAGGGACAAGCTCAACAGTTAGAGAAGAACCCGATGATGATTTCATTCTCGATGAAGACGATTTGACAGATGATATATCGGAAACGGAATCGGATAGATCAATAAACGAGGAGAGTGGACCAGAGTTTATTGAAGAGCACTCATTTCCTAGTACCGGTCAGCACGTGTATCTCGAGATGGGTGAGTGGGACCCCTCGTGTGTAGACCGAGATGAGTATGCTCTCCCTCTTTGGAATGGAAATGTCGAGTCTATCCGTTTGCATACTGTTTTCCGGTCCAAGAAAGAAGCACAGATTGGTATAATGAATTGGAACGTTAGTAGATTGAGAAGGTTAGGACAAAAGATTCGAATAAGAAATCATTCAAGGTTGTGTGCAAATTCGCCGAAGCTCGACCTTGTTCCTGGCAGGCTCGGGTGACTCACTGCACACGGGTTCATGATCTTTGGGAAGTAACGGAATGGACCGAGAGGCATAGTTGTATGCAAGAGGCCTACAAAAATGACCACAGAAATGTAACCGCAACAATGATTTCCAATCTTATAATGACCAAGATAAAAAAAAAAACCCGAGTACAGTGTTACCCTGATCCAGGAGGATGTCAAAAAATGTTGGAAAGTTGATGTGAACTATAAGAAGGCGTGGCATGGGAGGAAAAAAGCCATCGACAGTTTGTATGACACTTGGAAAGAGAACTTCGCACAACTCCCTCAGTAAGAAAAAATTTATATGTTATGTACGTATTATTTATTTTATCTCACTGTGTTTATGTATTAACGATTACGTTTTATAATGTGCAGATTTTTTGCGGCGCTGCAAAGAGCGAATCCCACTACAGTTGTACAGTGGGAATGGCAGGGTGGGGAAATGGCGGGCCACTATGAGCACAGAGAATTCAAATTTGTTTTCTGGGCTTTTGGTCCCGCCATTCAGACCTTCCAGAGATGCCTGCCGGTAATTAGCATGGACGGCACGCATTTGCGTGGCTCGTACAAGGGGAAGTTGCTTGTGGCCGTTGCACAGACTGCGAATAAGCGGTTATTTCCAATCGCGTATACGATTGTGGATGAAGAGAGCAGGGAAAACTGGTCATTTTTCCTGACGAATCTCCGGCAACATGTTGTCAGCGACAGACAGATATGCTTTCTTTCGGACAGGGATGGTGGCTTACAGAGTGCCGTGGATTCATTGGCGGCTTGGCAAGAACCCGCTGCATATCACCGCATCTGTCTTCGACACCTTCGGAGCAACGTTGTTACTAGATACAAGAATAGCAAAATCCGAAATTAGTGTTGGGAGTTGGGTTCACAACTTTCAGAGCGAAAATTTCAACAGATACGAGAGCGGCTTTCGGATTTTAATCCGGATGCATACAATTACCTGTTCGGAATTCCTCTGAACAAGTGGACCCTGCTTGGAGACGAGGGAGGACGTAGATGGGGTACATTGACGACCAATATGTCGGAGAGTTACAACAACGTCCTGAAAGGTGTTAGGTTCCCTGTCGAGCTTTGGTATACGCCACATTCATGAAAACTCTGGACTTGTTTTATCAGGAACAAAAGAAGTCCACGAGATGCAATAATGCCATTGCTAGTGCCCACTATGCTGCTTTTTGCGAATTGGAGAGTACGGCCGCAAATCATTAGGTGAGATGTGTAAACGCGATGAGATCTTTGTACGGGGTGACAACGGGTCTACGGGCGAGTGGTAGAGGGGACAAAACGTATGTGGTCTATTTATTTATTGTATAATTTTAATTTTTTTTATTTTTGTTCATTAAAATTTTTAGTTGTTTATAGATATAATTAAATGTGCGGAAAAACAGGTGTAAAGTTTGGTTCGACGAGAGGCGTTGTCGTTGTCTGAAGTGGCAGACACATAGGAAACCATGCTCTCATGCTATAGTTGTGTGTCGGCGACTTAATACTCCATCGAAGTTATTGTACGATCCCTGCTTTTGGACGGAGAACTGGGTAGCTCAATTTTCTAATTGGAGTTTTGTTCCGATTGGTGATCCAGACACATGGCCGCTCGTCGGATGGACCTTACTACCACATTGGGAGAGGATGATCACGAAGGCTGGACCGGGTCGCGCGCAAACGAGGCGTCATCGCATGCAAATGGATCGTCGGGCACGCCGCCGGAGTGATAGAGGACAGTGTAGTAGATGTGGTGATACAGAGCATTTTGTGGATGACTGTCCGGCCTCACATCCTCGCACTGATAGATCTAGACGCTGTGATGAGTGGGGATATTAGATTTATCAGTGTGTGTTTTTCTTACGTGGGACTTTTTTTTGTTTACTTTGATTTGTTGGACTATGTTTCAATTATATATTTTTGTTATCTTAGACTGTATATGAGTTGGTTTGTTTGTGTTTTATTTATTTTTTAGTTGGTTGTTCTGAAATTGTGTAACAGGTTGTAACAATGTTGGTGTAACAGGTATAAACCTCCTTGTTTGTTTTGTATGCTCTCTGTTTCAGGAATTCTTTTTTTATTTTTGGTCCCAGTAAAACGTATTCAAAAAATACGTTTTCTATATTGATTTAATTATAAACCGTGATTTATTTGTAAACCGTATTCAAAGAATACGTTTGCTACATTGATTTATTTGTAAACCGTATTCAAAGAATACGTTTTCTTTATTGATTTACTATATATTATAAATTCAATATATTATATACTATATGTTTATTATATATATAACATATAAGTTATGTAAATATGTTATGTTTTTTAAATATATATTAGTCCAATTGACTATATATCATTGTTATAAAAACCAATGTTCTAAAAGTCGCTAGGCGCTCGCTAGGCGCCCGACCAGTGCCTAGCGCTAGAGCGCCTAGTCGGGGCCTAGGCGGCACCTAGGCGGGGCCTAGAAATTATAATAAATATATTATTTTTTATTTATTTTTACCATTTCACTAATTAAATTATAACTTATAATTAATAAATCCATACATCTAAGTCCCACTAATATTATTAATATTATATTATAAAACAAACTCCAAATAAAATAAGTACATAACCACAATATAACTTCTTCTCATTGTAATTTTATCAAACACATTATCTACTTG